GTGGGACGACACGCTTCGTTCTCGGAGGATATGGATGACGATGAGGCCCCCCCGCTCCAGGAGCTGGAGCAGCTTCGATTCACGATGCCGTACCCAAGCCAGCAACGCACGGCCGCGCACACAGCAGACAGATTTGTTCGTGGGATTCTCAAGAAGGGCTCCGACTACACGATGGGCGGCATGGGAGCTCAACTTCGCATGAAGCTATGGGAACGTCGTGACCATCGGCGCATCACGGCCTACATCACGACATATTTAGCCATACTGTGTGATTACGTTGGTAACAGACCGACAGACCTCCGACCGTTTAGAGGAGTCGCCCTATGGAGTACCATCGGAGTCGTCCTCATCATGTCTGCTCTTTGTCGATTGCGCCATGCCTTTGTGATGCCACGAATGCCGAGGTGGGCTCGGCGCGTCTGGCAGATGCTTCCTCCAGAATGGCGACGTGGAGTGCACGACTGGGACGAGCCGATCGTGTCCATGGCACTCTCTAGTGTGCTTGGCGTGAGCTGTGAGCCTCATCGAGCGGTAGTGTACATCTTGGGCAGCTACGCGTCCCAGTACATAGGGAAAGCATGTCTAAGAACAGGTGCCCTTCCTGGACTACTGGGGCGTCTCCAGGAGCACGTTCGGGCTCTTCTGCATCCTCGGGTTCGACCAGGGAATCGGCCTCGGCATCGTGAACTTCGGCGTTCTGGAGGCTCACTGTTTTTCCTACCGATGATATGGGTACCATCAGAAGCGGCAAGTTCATTTCGAAACTTTAGCGATTCGGAGGTTTTCACCATCGGCGAATGCAGCTGGCGCTAGGGAATCTGAACTCATAAGCTTACGACGTGGCCTGGGGACCCTCTACTTACTTACCTCCCAAGACGAAGACCCGACCCCGACGACGACCACCCTCCTGGCGACGACCCCCTCCTCGACGTACGCCCCCACCCGTCTGGCTGACAGCAACCCCTGCCCACTTGGAGGTCACCTCGAGACTCGTAAGAGGCCCTCTCAGCCAGTACCCAGGGGCCCTGTCGGAACCCGCCCCCTACAGCGTGCTCTACACCCTCCAGATCACAGAAAGGTTCCTCCTCACCAGTGTCGAAGGACCCCTTTCTGGCTTCTTGGTCACGAGCATATGGGACTTCTTCTAGCTTATTTAGCAGCGCGATGGCGACCGTTGCCTGTGTGTACGTTTTTTTTTTATCACGCTTGGAGATAGGTGCGATCCTGTTCAAAGCCGCGAGTTTGGCTGGAGAACTCCTACAGAACTTCAACGTGTCAGAGTAGCTAAGTTCCACATTGACCGTCACCTGAAGTGCCTTGGGTTACCGGCAGCTCGGAGGCCCCTCCTGAAGCTTCCCTTTGAGTACCAGGCGAGGCACCTCCAGTATGTAGTCAAGGGAGCCATGCAATCGATGGTTAACCAGATGCGTTATGCTCCAGCACGGGAATGGTATGCTCAACCACCTCGTGTTTCTTTTCATGCACGTAGAATCTGGAAGGATCGGGTGTCGGCGAGCCGTTGTTGTGCATCTTATCAGTCCTCCTGCCTGCCAGAGTCCGTCGTCTCGTCCAACTTTGTGTCAGGACCATTACATTTGAAGCAGCTGCGAGGCTCGTGGCGGCTACCTGTCTGGTGCGTTCCTCTCGCGGCCCTCAGGAGTGCGAAGGTGTGCATCTTGGAATGGGCACAGGCGGCACGACTTCCCCAGCCAGTTATCCGACGAGGGTTGGATTATCTGCAGAATAGGTTTTCGTCTCCTCTACCTCCAGAGCTATGTGCTGCCCTACCTCAACCCCCACCTCGCCGGCACTTCCTGGAGAAAGAAATGCAGGCATCACTTGAGCAAACAAGCAGTGACATCTATATCGCAGATAACAAGCAGTGTGACAAAATACGGGTGGCAGACGGGGGTGATGTAGTACGATGGCTCCATCAAACAGCTGAGCTAGACCAGGACTGGAAAGTACGTTTGGATATCTCTAAGTACGATGCTGCTTTATGGTGGTGGTCTCGGGCGTTCCATGGGCTACCCTCCTGGCTGCGTACTAGGAATATGCTACCCCACCCCACAAAGAAGACGAACCCGCCCTACGTGTTCCCAACTGTCAAAAGCAAGTGTTTCTTACCTGATGGTGTGCGTTGCTGTGCGAAGCCAGGTCACAGTTGAATGCGTCGCATCGTCAACTCAGCAGATGCTCCAGGGACAGCAGGGCATCGCGTGATCGGCAGGGCCACGAGACACCTTCTGCGTGAGAGTGAAGTGTCGTGCGAGGTCTTTGATATGAAAGACGCCGCTCGTGATATTAACCGCATCGTCCAAGACCTTGACCCACCCAGCACTGATGTCTGCCTTCGCTGTTCTTGCCATATTCCGTCCATCTCGACTGTTGTTGCTGATGCGGATCAAGCGTATGAGCAGTGTAATTCTACTCTCATTGGTCAGGCGTGGAAGGAGGCGTCGGCTGAAATATCCCATCGTCTAGGAACAGATGCAGTACTAGTCAAGCGTGGAAAAGAAAACAAAACAACAACATTCCGATCAGGGACCCCGCCAACATATTTCAAAGTAACGATAGCAAATATCACGTCGACGATGTTAGCAAATTATTGGTTGTCTTTAGTGACGATTGGTGGGATTGTTTATTCACTTAGGGGTCTACCGATTGGTGGTGTGCTCTCAGGTGTGGCTTTATCGATGTTACTGGCGTGGTTTGAACTTCGAGCGTCCCGTCGTCCTCAGCAGTTTCGGGACCATGGTTTCCAGATTTCATCGTCCCCGGAGAAGATGGAGATTCGGCAGCGTCGATACGTTGGCGACATCCTAGGGGTTAGCAAGGTCTATTGCAGGCAGTGTGTCTACCTCTACCTGTCCCAGGTCTACCAGGTCAAGCTCTCCCCAGCCTCGGACTTCTTGGACCCTCAGGCCCCGTGCGTCTGGTTGGACCTCGGGTTGTGGCCCTCCGAATATAATATCTCCATTCATCCGAAGAATGAGAACCGCGTCTGGCTTCTCCAAGGTTGTGTAGACACCCGCCCAAAAACAAATATTCTTCCCTGGCCTGGACTACCTCCCAGAGGGTTCAATATGGTGTTTTCTCTCTTCACAGGACGCCTAGCTAGAGCCCAATATTTGGGCTTGCCTGTGAGATTTGCGACATCTTGGGTCTTGGAGCTCGTCTTAGAGTTGTTTGTGATGGGCTACCCCTCGAAGCTCATCATCGCCTCCTTGCAGGCTTGTCCCTGGTCTGTCGCCATACAGACGGCTCGAGCGACGGTGAGGTGCTGGCGTCGGTTCTTTCTCCAACCTACAGAAATGGGTTCTCGTGGGCCTCGTCAACCCTGGGTCCGCCAAGGTGGTAGCCATGAAGGTGATGGGCGTTCCAGCGGCTACAGCTACCAGTACCGTGGCCATGAATCTCGGCGTCGTGACGGCAGTTGGGGTCCTGAGCGCAGGTTTGACCCCGACCGACGTGGACCTCGGGATGCTGATCGTGACTACAGCGGCCTCCGTGACTCCACGGACCAGCGTGACTACTACCGTGACACCCGTGATATACGTGACGTTCGGGAGTGCCGCGAGTACCGTGACCATCGTGACCACCGTGATGCACCATACGACCGCCGCCCTGACCGTGACGCCCGCGGCCGTGGCTCAGATCGAGGTGATCGTGACCGTGGCCAGGGTTCTGGCCGTCCTCGCTCCCGCTCCGCCTCGGGCAAGAAGGCAGACGTCCAGCGCCTTCGGGAAGAGCTAGCGGCTGCGGACCCTGAGTTCAAGGCCGCGCTCAAGGACAAGGAGGACAGGAAGGAGGAGATGCAGCTCCGCAAGCAGGGCGAATATGTGGCGATGGCCATGAAGTCAAGCTTCGGGGACCAGCTCACCAAGCTCCTCGAGGCGTTGGACAGCGGTGGCAAGCCGAAGAAGTCCGTCATGGGGGAGCGCGAGGTGAGCCCGACACCGGTGGCGGAAGCCCCCGTTAGCACGGCTCTTCTCAAGAGGGCGGAGATCGGATGGCCCCGGTCCCTCATCGGCGGCAAGAAGCAGCTGGGCACACGCATGTCCTGGGCTGAGGCCGCTCAGGTCTTGGAGGCGCGCATGGTGGACAAGACGGTGGTGGCGCAGATCAACAAGTGCATCATGGCCCACTTTCCGAAGCGTACGCCACCTACGAGCAAGGCGAAGCGTGTGCAGCTTGTCCTGGGGATCCTTCACGCCAGCGCCCTCTGAGATGTGAGTGCCGAGACCGTTGCTGCTGACAACGAATCCGATGACGGAGACATCTACCAAGAGAAGCACTACGCGATGTCCAGTCGCCCACCTCGTGATTGGATCATTTTGGGTTTCATGATTGGCTTCTGTGTGGCTCTCGTTGTGAATATCTTGATTCCAGCGAAAGAGTGGAGGACGATCCAGGTTATCCGTGCGTACCTCACTCTGAATTGGACGCATACTCGTGAGGCTGGAATGTTACAAGAATTATCCAACATGTTCGCAAACCCGTTCACGATAGCGAGTGATCAAGAGCAGGCAATCGTTCGTCACATGATTACAGGCCTGGTAGGGGCCTCAATCCCAGTAATGGCCGGTCAACTCCCACTTGGCAGTGCTCTGACTCTCCTCCCTAGGCTTGTAGCTCCCTCTCATCAACGCCAAGGGACCCAACCACGTACAGGGAAGCAGGTTTGTGACTTGACCTCGGAGCCGATCTCTCTTGGGATTTGACACCTAGGACACTGATGTACCCTGCCCCCTCCTTATTGAACATACCCCCTGCCCGCTCCCCCTATCTCCCGAGAATCAGGCTCCCCGAGGTCGTGTGATAACGATTTGAGCTGTTCCCTCAGGTGTGACCTACACCCAGCGCCTGATCCTTTCTGCCTTTTCCTCCCCATTCCCAGCTACAGGTCCCCCCTCTCAGATCCTCGGAGGTCTTGTTTGTAGGTCTCGTAAGCTGTACCTTAGAGACGAACTCGGATCCCGAAGAGTGCCGTTTTCAGTTCCCGACTGCCTGTGGAGAGTGTTGCATCAGCTCCGACTTGGTGCTCCAGAGGGTGCCATACTGTTCGAGTATGAGCGTGGAGCACCCCCCCTCCTGCCCGACTACAGGGAACTACACTTAGGTTCTCCCCCCCTCCCTCCTCCTCCTAGAGAGCTGATGCCGCTGAATGACCAGCCCTGCGAGTACCACGAGGCGCGCGATGGGCATCTCTCTCTCTCTCTCTCTCTCTCTTTCTCCCACCCGAGAGCATGTTCCTCATCTTGTCTTCATCTTGTCCTCTTGCTTACTGTGCACTTCTGAGTTGCTGCCGCGTTTGGGCTTAGGCCGTTCAGGAAGGCGGACTGCCCAGGGCACGCTCATAGCAGTACCGTCTGGTGCCTTCTCGATCGTGATCGAGAACCTGTGGCCGAGGTGAAAAATCGTCAGGTCTTATTGGTTTGATTGATTGGAACGCCAAGGGGGACTCTCTCTCTCTCTCTTTCTCTCTCTCTCTCTCTCTCTCTCTCTCTCTCTCTCTCTCTCTCTCTCTCTCTTCTGCCTCTAATCAGCCGCCCCCTCTTCGCTCCTTCTCTCCTGGCGTTGTCCCTCTTCCTTCGTCCCTCCCCCTCCCTTCCTCCCACTCTCCCTCGTTCTCCCCCCCTCCTTTTTTGGCAGGGCCCACACCAATTCCAATGGCGGGCACATATACGCCCACGAAGGATTGTCCGCCCGTTCATGTTTGCCCGCCTGTCTAAGCCCGCCGCCCCCCGCAAAGAGAAAGAATCCCCCCAAAGGGGGTGTGATCGAGACAAAAAGGGCGGGCATCGAGGTTGTGGGGGGCTCGTTTTGAATGACACACGGGCAAGAGCGAACAGTCTTAGAATGAGTGTTGTTGCTGCTGTTGTTGGTGGTGCTGTTGTTGTTGGTGGTGTTGGTGTTGCTGGTGCTGTTGGTGTTGTTGTTATTGGTGGTGCTGCTGTTGGTGGTGTTGTTGTTGCTGGTGCTGTTGTTGTTGTTGGTGTTGCTGTTGTTGCTGAAGTTGTTGTTGTTGGTGGTGGTGTTGTTGTTGTTGGTGTTGATATTGGTGTTGATGTTGTTGTTGGTGGTGGTGTTGCTGTTGTTGTTGTTGTTGCTGCTGTTGATGTTGTTGTTGTTGGTGGTGTTGTTGTTGTTGGTGTTGTTGGTGTTGCTGGTGTTGGTGTTGTTGTTGGTGTTGGTGTTGTTGTTGCTGTTGTTGTGTTTGATGTTGTTGTTGTTGATGTTGTTGTTGTTGATGTTGTTGTTGTTGGTGTTGTTGTTGTTGGTGTTGGTGTTGTTGTTGTTGTTATTGCTGTTGTTGTTGTTGTTGTTATTGTTGTTGTTGTTTGTGTTGTTGATTGTGTTGTTGTCTTTGGTGTTGTTGGTGGTGTTGTTGTCGTTTGTTGTCGTCGTCCCCCCCGCGACCCACCAGCGGCCCACCCCGCAACCCACCCCGCCACCCACCCCGCGACCCACCCCGCGACCCACCCGCGACCCACCTGCGACCCACCCCGCAAACCACCCGCGACCCACCCGCGACCCACCCGCGACCCACCCCGCGGCCCACCCGTGACCCACTTGCGACCCACCAGCGACCCACCCGCGACCCACCCGCGACCCACTTGCGACCCACCAGCGCCCCACTCCGCGACCCACCCGCGACCCACCCGCGACCGAACCAGATTGGCTCGAAGAAAAGATCGGCGCCTGCGGCGGGCTCGTTGCATACAATTCGTGAAACTTTGGCGCCTGCGGCGGGCTTCTCCAGAGTCTCGCAAACTGCCGACGTCCCCCCCGCCCCCACTATTGTCCGCACACGCGGGGTCTAAAGTGTATATATATATATATATAGATATATAGCTATATATATCTATATATATATATACGCACACACACACACTCGTATATGTATTCCAGGTCTCTCAATAAGCGTAGGGGGGTGGATCGCGCGGTGGGGTGGGAAACCGCTGTCCTTCGGGGGGCGCGGGGAGGTTGGGGAGCGAGAGGGGGTGGGTTTGGGGCGCGTGGGGGGGCGGGCAAGGGGCGTCGGACAGGTTGGCACGGGGGGGGCTTATTGAAGGATGTGGAGTGCCTATACATAGAAATATGCATCTACACTTATGCGTGTATGTACCTGTCCGGTGTTTGCATGCCATTACACCGCATCCTTCCAACCCTCCCCCCTCCCCTGGACCCCTCCCTGGAGGGCTTCGCCCAAAACACAACGTCCTCACTCGTACCTCGCTCGTTCCATTACCTGGCCCGGCACAGAAACGGAAAGAGCGCTTCAGAAACAGAAACCGAAATTATTCATACCACCGTTCGTACTGGGAGCCTTGGCGTTGAGAGCTTGTTACGTCACCACTCGCTCTTGGGAGCCTTGGGGTTCAGAGATTGTTGCGTTGCCGCCCGTTCCTGAGCCTTGGCTGGGCATTAGTGTCAGGAAAGTGTTACGTCACCACTCTCTGCTGGGAGCCTTGGTCTTATCAGCTTGTTTACGTCACCGTTCGCTCTTGGGAGCCTTGATGTGAAGAGCTTTTTGCGTTACCGATCGCTCTTTATTTGGCGTCTCTGGGCCTTCTTGCGAGTCCTACTGGGGCCCTTTTAGAACCCTTTTGGAGGCCTCTTGGGAACCTCTTGGGACGCCTCTTGGGGCTTCTTGGGGGGCTCTGGGGGCCTCCTGGGAGCTTCTTGGGGCGAAAGGCTAGACTTTTCGGTTCGTGGTCCCCCTCTGGGGGCCGTCTTGGGGCCCTCTTGGGCCGTCTTGGGCGCCTTTTGGGCCGTCTTGCGGCCCTCTTGGGCCGTTTTGGGGGCCTCTTGGGAGCCTCTTGGGCCGTCTTGGGGCGGTCTTGGGGCCTCTTGGGCCGTCGTCAACGCCGTGAAAGCCGAAATGCCGTATATGCTAAAAATATACCTTTTTCCCGTGGGAAATCAATGATGTGCCTCCTGGTGGCCTCTTGGGACGCCTCTTGGGGGCCTCTTGGGGCTTCTTGGGGTGCTCTGGGGGCCTCCTGGGAGCGTCTTGGGGCGAAAGGCTAGACATTTCGGTTCGTGGTCCCCCTCTTGGGGCCGTCTTAGAGCCCTCTTGGGCCGTCTTGGGCGCCTCTTGGGCCGTCTTGGGGCCCTCTTGGGCCGTTTTGGGGGCCTCTTGGGAGCCTCTTGGGCCGTCTTGGGGCGGTCTTTGGGGCCTCTTGGGCCGTCGTCAACGCCGTGAAAGCCGAAAAGCCGCATATGCTAAACATGCACGTTTTCTCAAGGAAAATCAATGAGTTTGGCCTCTTGGGGGGCCCTCTTGGGACGCCACTTGGGCGCCTCTTGGGGGCCTCTTGGGGGCCTCTTGGGCCGTCTCGGGCGGTCTTGGGCTCTCTTGTAGCGGTCTTGGGCCGTCTTGGGGGGAAACCCGAAAAACATGCAAAAGCACAAAGGAAAACCGAAAACGGCCATTACACCGCATCCTTCCAACCCTGCCCCCCTCCCCTGGACGCCTCCCTAGAGGGCTTCGCCCAAAACACAACGTCATCACTCGTACCTCGCTCATTCCATTACCTGGCCCGGCACAGAAACGGAAAGAGCGCTTCGGAAACAGAAACCGAAATTACTCATACCACCGATCGTACTGGGAGCCTTGGCGTTGAGAGCTTGTTACGTCACCACTCGCTCTTGGGAGCCTTGGGGTTCAGAGATTGTTGCGTTGCCGCCCGTTCCTGAGCCTTGGCTGGGCATTGGTGTCAGGAACTTGTTACGTCACCGCTCTCTGCTGGAAGCCTTGGCCTTATCAGCTTGTTCACGTCACCGTTCGCTCTTGGGAGCCTTGGTGTGAAGAGCTTTTTGCGTTACCGATCGCTCATTTCTTGGCGTCTCTGGGCCTTCTTGGGAGTCCTACTGGAGCCCTTTTAGAGCCCTTTTGGAGGCCTCTTGGGAACCTCTTGGGGGCTTCTTGGGGGGCTCTGGGGGCCTCCTGGGAGCTTCTTGGGGCGAAAGGCTAGACTTTTTGGTTCGTGGTCCCCCTCTTGGGGCCGTCTTGGGGCCCTCTTGGGCCGTCTTGGGCGCGTCTTGGGCCGTCTTGGGGCCCTCTTGGGCCCTTTTGGGGGCCTCTTGGGAGCCTCTTGGGCCGTCTTGGGGCGGTCTTGGGGGCCTCTTGGACCGTCTCCAATGCCGTGAAAGCCGAAATGCCGTGGATGCTAAAAATATACCTTTTTCCCGTGGGAAATCAATGAGTTTGGCCTCCTGGTGGCCTCTTGGGACGCCTCTTGGGGGCCTCTTGGGGCTTCTTGGGGGGCTCTTGGGGCCTCCTGGGAGCGTCTTGGGGCGAAAGGCTAGACATTTCGGTTCGTGGTCCCCCTCTTGGGGCCGTCTTGGGGCCCTCTTGGGCCGTCTTGGGCGCGTCTTGGGCCGTCTTGGCGCCCTCTTGGGCCGTTTTGGGGGCCTCTTGGGAGCCTATTGGGCCGTCTTGGGGCGGTCTTGGGGGCCTCTTGGGCCGTCGTCAACGCCGTGAAAGCCGAAAAGCCGCATATGCTAAACATGCACGTTTTCTTAAGGAAAATCAATGAGTTTGGCCTCTTGGGGGGCCCTCTTGGGACGCCCCTTGGGCGCCTCTTGGGGGCCTCTTGGACTGTCTTGGGCGGTCTGGGGCTCTCTTGGAGCGCTCTTGGGCCGTCTTGGGGGGGAACCCGAAAAACATGCAAAAACCAAAAGGAAAACCCGAAAACGGCAATGGCAACGCATCCTTCCAACCCTGCCCCCTCCCATGGACCCCTCCCTAGAGGGCTTCGCCCAAACACAACGTCATCACTCATACCTCGCTCTTTCCGTTATCACATCCCTCCGCTCCTCCCCCTCCTCTGGACCCCTCCCTAAATGGGAGCCCTGGTGTTCAGAGACTGCCACGTTGCCGCTCGCTCTTGAGAGCCTGGTGTGACGAGCTTTGTACGTCACCGCGCTCTGGGGAGCCTTGGTGTCAAGAGCTTGTTAAGTCACCGCTCGCTGATGGGAGCCATGGTCTTCTTGAGCGTCTCTTGGGCCTCGTCGGGTTCTTCTTGGGGCCCTTTTAGAACCCTTCGGGAGCCCCTGCGGGGCCAGTCTGGGCCGTTCTGGAGCCCTTTTGGGCCGTCTAGAGGCGTCTTGGAAGCCTTTGGCCGCCTTGGGGCTTTCTTGGGGGCCTCTTGGGGGCATCTTGGGAGCCTCTCTGGGCCCTCTGGGGGCTCCGTTGTGGCCGTCTCAGGGCCCTCTTGGGCCGTCTTCGGGCCTCTCTGGGGACCATCTTGGGGCTCACTTGGGCAATTTGGATGCCCTCTTGGGCCGTTTTAGGGCCCTCTTCGATAGCTTTCGGGCCTTTTGGGGGGCCTCTGGGGCCGTCCGTCTACGGACGATATTTGGGGCCTCTCGGGCCGTCTTGTCTTGGGTAGGAGGGACCGTCTTGAGGCCATCTGAACGCATCTTCTAACGCTTTAGGGCAGTCTTCGGCTCTCTTAGAGCGCTCTTGAGCCGTCTTGGAGCCCTCTTGGCCGTCCTGGGCGCCTCTTGGGCCGTTTAGGACGCCTCTGGAGGCCTCTTGGGGGCCTCTTTGTGTGTAGGGGGGCGTATTGAACAATTGTCTGCCGCCCTAACCCCTCCCCGGGACCCCTCCCTTAAGGGCTTCGCCCTACCTGAACGTCATCACTAATACCTCACTCTTTCCGTCACCTGCTCGGCACGGGGACGGAAAGCGCGTGTATTTCGTGAGGGCGCGCGATCGCTTGCCTAGGGTCTTGGAGCCCTGCTGGTGTCGGGACTTTGGCATGACAAAACAATAATTAGCCCAAAACCGTACGAAAAACAATGCGCCACATGGATTGCACCACCTAGATTGCACCACATAGATTGCACGACCTAGTTTGTACCACATGGCATGTTAGAACACACTGTCTAGGGATCCACGCTGGCTAACAACTCGATATACATATATATATATATATATACACACACACAAACAAACAAACAAACAAACAAACAAACAAACAAACAAACAAACGAACGAACAAACGAACGAACAAACAAACAAACACGCGTAAACACATACAAACAATCCGCCGGCCCCCTTGTGGGGCCACCAGGCTGTAGGCGCGGGTTCGCAGTTTCCTGTGTCAGTTGTAGCTTGTAGTTTCCAGTGTTACAGTTCTGCTTCTTGCTGGTTACTGTAACTAGTTGATTGACCGCGCGGGGGGGGAGGCCCAAACCAGATATTTAGCACCTCCTGGGCGCGTTGTCTGAATTGCTGGGGGGGCTCGAAATCGACACCCCTCACGCAGATCCGCGGGGTCAGGGTCCAAAAACACAGGGGATTTGCCACATTTCTGAAATTCGGTGCCACCCCTCACGCAGATCCGCGGGGTCAGGGTCCAAAAACACATGGGATTTGCCACATTTCTGAAATTCGGTGCCACCCCTCACGCAGATCCGCGGGGTCAGGGTCCAAAAACACAGGGGATTTGCCACATTTCTGAAATTCGGTGCCACCCCTCACGCAGATCCGCGGGGTCAGGGTCCAAAAACACAGGGGATTTGCCACATTTCTGAAATTCGGTGCCACCCCTCACGCAGATCCGCGGGGTCAGGGTCCAAAAAAACAAAGGGATTTGCCACATTTCTGAAATTCGGTGCCACCCCTCACGCAGATCCGCGGGTCAGGGTCCAAAAACACAGGGATTTGCCACATTTCTGAAATTCGGCGCCACCCCTACGCAGATCCGCGGGGTCAGGGTCCAAAAACACAGGGGATTTGGCACATTTCTGAAATTCGGTGCCACCCTTCACGCACATCCATCGCAAGGCGTGGTAACCCAAACTGCGAGAACTCCCTCGGCCCTTTAATCGCAAGGTGTGGTAACCAAGCCCGTAAACCATACACGTCTTACCAATCGCCAGGTGTGGTAACCCCTCTTGTGATCAGTTGGTTTTGCTGATTGCGAATCGGCTTCGCATGAAGTTTCGATACTGCTTCACGACAGCGCCAAGGCCTCATGACTTAGCTCTTCCATGGCCCATTCTCCGAGAGAGGGGGCCGGCGGCAGGGGGCGAAGCCCTTACGGATTAACACTCAACAAAATCAACTTCGAACCTCGAGCCTGGATCCCCCAACCTGGAATTGTTACTCCCAGGCGGGGAACCGCGCGCACCTCCCCCAGCCCTTCCCGTCGGGCACGTCGGCCGGCACCGCGTCGAACAGGAAGGGGAGCGTCTGCGAGCAGCTCGTCCGGGATCCGACGAGGGCCATCAGCAGCCACAGCGCGCAGGGGGCGCCGAACTCCACCTGGGGCGACGGAGGCGAGCAGGCCCCGCGCGCGAGGGCACGGCGAGGCCACGCCGCGGCCCACCGCGGGGCGCCAGCGCGACACCCCGCGTGGAGAAGAGGGCGCCCACGCGCGGCCCTCCCTGAGATCCGACGCAGCGAAAAGGGTGCAGCATCGTAACAAAAAGAAAGCGCCTGGAGCCCAGAGCGAGGCGAAACGTGCAGCATCGAAAAAAAAAAGAAGCCTCAGGCGAGGGCGTCCTTCCGGAGGTTTGGGCCCCTTTTATGGCCAGGCCCTCTCGGAGTACATTGCGAGAAAACACCGACGGGAGCGTTGTTGGTGGTGGTGGTGGCGGTGGTGGTGTTGCTGGTTGTGTTGTTGTTGTTGTTGTTGTTGTTGTTGTTGTTGTTGTTGTTGTGGTTGTTGTTGTTGTTGGTTGTGGTGGTGGTGGTGGTGGTGGTGGTGGTGGTGGTGGTGGTGGTGGTGGTGGTGGTGGTGGTGGTGGTGGTGGTGGTGGTGTTATTGTTGCTGCTGCTGCTGCTGCTGCTGGTGGTGTTGCTGCTGCTGGTGTTGTTGTGGCTGCTGTTGTCGCCATTGCTGTTGCCGTTGGTGTGGCTGCTGCTGGGGAGCCGGAATGGGCGCACGCCCGAGACGCTCGAGCGGGAGCCTCGGTGTCGAAGGAGATGCGGCCGGCGCCGAGGCGGGAGCGCCAAAGCGGACATGAGGGGGTCCAACAGTCATCGCAACTGCTCCCCAAAGTAGGCTTGCCCTGTAGGAGTTCGAAGCGAAGCCTTACGAATTGGTCCGCTGCCCCCCCCCCCCTCCCCCCAGTTCCTATGCCCCCCCTGATTCCTATAGCTGTGCCTATCTATGCCTATGCCTATGCCTCCCCTCTGACTCCTATGCCTACGCCTATGCCTATGCCTATGCCTATGCCTTTGCCTATGCCTATGCCTATGCCTATGCCTATGCCTATGCCTATGCCTATGCCTATGCCTATGCCTATGCCTATGCCTATGCCTATGCACCACCTCTGAGCGCTCCTATGCCTATGCCACTGATTATGCCTATGCATATCTTTCCAATGCTTGCTTGCTGGCTTGCTGGCTTGCTTGCTTGAATGCTTCCTTGCGCGCTTGCTTGCTTGCTTGCTTGCTTGCTTGCGCGCTTGCTTGCTTGCTTGCTTGCAAGCTTGCTTGCTTGCTTGCACGCTTGCTTGCTTGCTTGCTTGATTGCTTGCTTGCTTGCTTGCGCTTGCTTGCACGCTTGCTTGCTTGCTGAGTTGCGGATTCCAAGCATGCTTGATTCCTCTGATTCCTTGATTTGAGTCGTCTAATCTATTTGGAGTCAACGCTGGCTGATATTTATGGTGGGGGGGGGGGGCATTGGACAAGGAATCCCTAGAGAAGGAATCCAGGGTCTGGAAGCCGCTGGATCGCCAATCCTGCATCGGCGACGGAAATCACCGTCGCCCTCACCTGCTGAGGAACCCTCCCGGATATCCGCAGCCTCGGCACCCCGTTGCCTCGACGAACGCCCCCCCCCCGCAGCAGCTCCGAGCGTTGAAGAGAGACAGACCCTCGGAGGCCTCGCTTCCGCGCCCCCGCCCCGCCTTGGGGTCGGGGGGGCCGGCCCGGGGGGCCGCGCAGACGTGCTGGGCCCCGGGGCTGGCCGGGCAGTGCAGCAGCCCGACGAGCAGGCCCGCGAGGGCGGCCGCCCCCGAGAGCACGAAGAGGGCGCGGGAGATGAGCGGGAAGGTCCTGGGAGGGGGGGGGGAGGGACATACTAATACTATATGTCCTCCTTGGAGGCGCGCGTCCGACCCGAACATATAGTATACCCGTCTTGTAGTATATCGTTTCACGAGCGGTGTGGCCAGGAAGCGCACGCCACGACGCATATACTATAAGATTTCTCGGTGCGCGCGTCGCCCCTGGGGGGGCGACGCACATCTAGTATAAGTATGTTGGGGTGTTGCCGATGGGAGGGGGGGGGAGGAGGGCGAGAGTCCTCGAGATGCGTCTGCACACCACACCCTCCCCGCCCCAGTCAGATCCCACCGCCCGGGGCCACTCTCAGCGCACAGACAAAAAAAAAACCAGGGGAGGGACTCTTGTGTAGACCTCCCCAGGGCGAGAATTGTTTCCTCTTGGGCCCGGAACGACGGCTTGAAGTCTTGAGCAGACGCGCGTGAGATAACCGCCGTCTGATCCCATGAAGCTCGCGCGGATCCAAATGTGGCTTTTGTGTTTGTTTCGGTCCGATGTTTACCCCGTCTAAAGTTTATCATACTAAAATTAGACAAAGAACCGAAGGACATCGGATCCGCGGACACTGGAACCCGCCCGTGTTAAGATTCTACGGGGGAAGGGGGTTCGGTCATTAACTTCCAACTCATCATCGCCATTTGCACTTCGAGAGGAAAAGATTTCGTCCTGCGCATCAGGCCCACAGCCAGGACCATCGCTCGCCCCCCGGGGCCTTTTTGGGTACAGTATACAGACTTTTCGGACGGAGAGAGGGCCATGACCAAGACTGAGCGCGGAAGCGGCGGAGGAGGAGGAGGAGGAGGAGGAGGACATCGTCGACTCGTGGATCCCCCTCGCGAGTCGGCAGCGGCCAGCGTGGACCACGGCCGAGGTCGGCGCCAGCGAGATCCCGCGGCCTCGTGGTCGTGGTCGGCGTGTCTCTTTTCCCCCGAGGTCCTCGCCGTGAGCCCCCAGCGCCAGGTGGCCCTGGAGTCGGCCTGCTTGATCGGGGACAGATCCTCCAGACGAAGACAGAAGAAAACAACACGAGCGAATCTCTTGGAGACAAAAGAAAACAAAACCAGAAGACAAAAGAAACAAAACAAAAGAAGACAAAAAGACACAAGAAATTAGACTTTCGGAGGTCCGCGCGGATCGCTCGGATCGGCGCTGGACCCCGCCCCCCCTCCCTGGCGCGCGGTGCGCGCCAGGGGCAGCGCCAGAGGAGCCGCCATGGGGGGCCCAGCGCCGATCTAAGAGATCCGCGCGGACTTCCGAAAGCTTGTGATTCGTGCCTGTTGTTTTGCTTCGGTCCTCGACGTTCATGAAGCGCACGTGCTGCAGCGCCCAGTAGTTCTGCAACATCACGCACGCGAGGAGGCTGGCCACACACACGGTCGCCCAGCAGATCCTCTCGCGGGAAGTAGGAAGGTCCCGATACCGCCACTCCACGGACCTCTCCCGGAGAGCGTTCTGACCAGAATTTCGAAGCGAATCTGGCCGTGGCGACAAGGGCTGGGTCGGGCGGAAAACTGTTTCTGGAGGAAAACGAAGAACGCACAAAATAATCAAGAAGTGTCAGAAGTATTTGTTTGAATAAATCGTCCTTCGACTATGTTTGACTATTTTTGAACGCTCCCCCTGTGTAGGGACAGGCTCGACTTAAGACAAGGGCCCTCTGGGAGGCCCACGAAAGGCCAAAACGAGGCAAGGGAAGCGGCATCGGCACAGAGAAGCTGGAAAGAGCGGAGGGTAGAAACTCGGTGAAAACGAAGATAGCCAGGGCTGGAAGGACTGGCGAAGGGCTGAAACGAGCCCGAGACGGTTGGGATGAGGTCGCCACGGCTGGACAAGACTGAAGGAAACTGGCCAGGGCTGGAAAGATCGGGCCTCGGCGGGACTGGGTTTCGTGGGGCCGGGTTTCGTGACGTGCACCAGGGGACGCCGCCCTCGCCCCATTCCACTAAGCAAAACTGCCGTCACCCGAAGAAACGCCAGCTACGGCAGGCTTGGTCTTGTGATTCTGGTGAATTTTCTGGGCTTCGGGGCCCAATCACTAACCAGCTCCCCTTACCTGGGGTTCTGGCTTTATCCGAACAGAGTGGGAGGGCACGCTTTCCAGCTTCCCTGTACCTCTTGCTCCTCCGCATCCTCTGGGCCCACGGGCAGAACTCCCGGTAGGGGCACTGCAGTGCCACCGTGAGGGCGGTGAGGCTAAGGATGCTGCAGAGCGTGACGCCAGCCTGGTAGAACGTCTCGACGCCGAACGCGCAGCGTGCCATCGGCGGGCAGCACCGCTGGTGGACCGCGCGCGGGAGAATGAGTGTTGCGCAGAAGCTCGCTGTGAAGGCTGGCATTGATCCCGCGGGGTGACGGCGAGGACGCGAAGGAGCACGACCCAGGAATGCTGGCGTCGTAAACGAGATCACGACGGAAGAGTTCCAGCCGCTTTTTCAGCCTCTTGGCCCTCCTCCTCCTCCTCCTCCTCCTCCTCCTCGTCCTCCTCCTCCTCCTCCTCCTCCTCCTCCTCCTCCTCCTCCTCCTCCTCCTCCTCCTCTCGGAGCCCGCGCCGGGCCCCGGGACCGCAAAAAAAAAAACTGCTCGGGATGGAAATTCTGGCCCCGGAGAGAAAGGGTCGGGACGTCCGGGGGGCCAAGCCTTGCAAAATCCAGGCACTGGGTGTCAAGGGAGGGAGCCCCCAAATATACACCACCACCACCTCCATCCCCCCCTCCCTCTCGCTGGAAAGAGGAGAGAGGAGGAATCGACGTGGTGGTGGTGTATGTTCTTTGGGCCCCCATCTAGGGAGGATGCGGATGCTTGCGCGGACGAGGTCCGCAGAATGATGAGGGCAGAAAGAGCAGGAGGAGGACAGCAGCGATGAGGACAAGGACGCGGAGAAAATGAGCAGGAAAACGAAGAGGCGGAGGGGCGAAAGGAAAGCGAGGAACACAAGGGATGCAGACACACCTGGTTTGCTTCAACGCGGCGCCAACGCTGCAAGCATGCGTGCACACTGGAAACTCGTGCCACATGTTGCCCCAATCTGAGGTCCTGCTACAGCTGGCGCGTGTCATTGCGCGCGAGACTGAACTTCCCCGAACATTGCTTGAAATCAGGGGTCAACCACGTACTCCAGATTTCGTAATAAAAGGAAGGAGGTCTGGACCCTCCAAGACAAGCCATTTCAGACCTCCCCCGTGGGAGAACCCTCCAGAACACCGTCCCCAGACCCCCCCCCAGGCCCCCCAAGATAGCCTGGAAGAGACCCCCCCCCCCCGAAATGAGACCCCCCTCCCTTTACTACGAAATCTGGAGTACCTTGCTCGAGCAGCTGGACGGGCCCGCCGAGGCTGCTCCACGCCAGCGCCCCGCGCCCGCTGCCGGGCGCCCCGCGGGCGCTCGCGGCCCCCACCGCGCCCCCTCGGCGGGCCCGCCGACGCTTCGCCCCGCGGGGCGCCCCGCGGGGCGCCTCCCGCGGGCGCCCCGCCGGGCGCCCGCGGGCGCCCCGTGCCCGCCGGGGGGGGGTCCGCCTCCTCTCCTCCTCCTCCCCTCCTCCTCCTCCTCCTCCTCGTCGTCCTCCTCCTGCTCTCCTCCTCCTCCTGCTCCTCCTCCTCCTCCTCCTCCTCCTCCTCCTCCTCCTCCTCCTCCTCCGCGGGTGCTCGTGGGCGCCCCGTGGCCTGCCTGGGCGGGCGGCCCGCCCCGCGCACGCCACAACGCACTGGCGCACGCAGCAGGCCGCCGGGGGGGCGGAGCCCAAGGAGCGCGCTGGATCGCCTCGGCGCCGCGTTGAGACCCTCCTGTTCGCTTCGGCAGCAATGCGGGCGCCATCTCGAAGGCCAGCGCGAGCCTGGAGATGGCGAGCGACAACCTCAGGATTGTCGATTCCTTGCGCCCGCACGCGGCCCCCTTTTCCACGAGCTCAGCTTCGGTGTCCCATCGAACACCGGAGGAAAGCCTGGGGCAAGCTGTGAGACAACCAGGGAGCCCGGGGCCCCTCCCCAACGAAAAGGGTTCCTTCTTCAGCGCCCCGACTGCAGCTCACACCACATGTAGGGCACACCGCATAGCTTATACGACATAGCGCACACCACACAGCTTACACAGCATAGCGAACCCCGCCTAGCCTACTGCTCATATTGTTGGAAACAGAACTGACACCAGATAGCTTGCTCCGCAAATGATTCACCTCCACGGTACAATAACTCACTAATTATTTGATGCCCACGCTGACAAAGATGCGGGATTTGTTCGATGCCTGTGCGGTGAATCGTGGTATCCAGTTGTGAACTCGCACGACCTAGCCCACTGGTGCCCGTATGCCGCACACCGACCAACCACTGCAAGAGCTCCCTGGCCCAGCCTAGCCAAGTCCTCTGCCGAGAGTGGGAAGGAGGGAGGGAGGGCGAGGAAGGGAACGAGCGAGGAGGCGGAGGAGGAGGAGGAGGAGGAGGATAAGGAGGAGGAGCAGCAGCAGCAGGTAGAGGGAGGAGGAAGGAGGAGGGCGGAGGAGGTGGAGGGGAAAGACGGAGGAGGCGGGGAGAGCAAAGGGAAGAGGAGGAGGAGGAGGGACGAGAAAGGATGAGGTGGAGGGGGGAGTAGGAGGAGGCAGAGGGAGGAGCAAGATAAGAGGAGGAGGAAGAGGAGGAGGAAGAGGAGGAGCTGTTGGATACACTTCGCAGCCTTAGCCTTTGGAGGAGGAGCGCATGAGCGCCGTGTCCAACGAGAGGCCTCAGGTGACGCTGCAGGAAGGGCGAGACCGTCGCCCGTCCTGAAACAGTGACCAGCCATCCGCATGGCTGTGCAAGCAGACAGTATCCTTCTCATACCCCTCCCTCGCTCCTCCATCCCCTCCTCCCCCATCCTCCTTCCTCGCTCCTCCTCCCTCGCTCCCTACGTATCCCTCGCTCCCCCTGTCTGGCTCCCCCTCTCTCGCTCCGACCCCTCCTCCTCCTCCTCCTCCTCCTCCACCTCCACCTCCACCCCTCCCCTCCTCCTCCTCCTCTCTCCTCCTCCTCCTCCTCCTCCTCCTCCTCCTCCCTCCTGCCTCCTGCCTCCTCATCCTCCTCACTCCTGCCTCCATCCGCCGAAGCGGGCGGCTCCGGCCGAGCCTCTCCGGGGCAACGCTCTCCCCAAGCCCAGCGAGAAGCTCCAACCCCCTGTCGGCGGCCGTCAGGCCCTGGCGCCGGGTGGTCTTCCGCCTTTTCCTCGTCCTCCTCCTCCACCCCCTCCTTCTCCTCCTCCTCCATTCCTTCTCCTTATAGATAACTTTTCCTTCTCCTCCACCTCCTCCTCTCCACCTCCTCCTCCACCTCCACCTCCTCGTCGTCCTCCTCCTCCTCCTCCTCCTCCTCCTCCTCCTCCTCCTCCTCCTCCTCCTCCATTCCTTCTCCTCATAGATAACTTCACCTTGCCGCACCCCGAGGTCGGTTGTTAGGGCGGGCCCGGCGTTTCGCCTGAGACTGCCTCACCATCAAAGACTTTGAAGCTTAAACAGTAGCAACAATTTCAAAGATGGAAAGCAGGTGGTTTTCAAAATGTGGCTCTCGCCTTAGCGCCGCGCACATTCGTTTACAAAATTGCAAGAGCTTCACGGATTGAGGGCGGGTCGTTTTCAAAATGTGGCTCTCGCCTTAGCGCCGCGCACATTCGTTCTCAGAATGTGCAAGAATTTCACGGATTGAGGGCGGGTCGGTTTCAAAATGTGGCTCTCGCCCTAGAGCCGCGCACGTTCGTTTACAAAATTCGCAAGAGCTTCACGGATTGAGGGCGGGTGGTTTTCAAAATGTGGCTCTCGCCTTAGCGCCGCGCACATTCGATTTTAAAAATTTCACGAGTTTCACGGATTGAGGGCGGGTCGTTTTCAAAACGTGGCTCTCGCCTTAGCGCCGCGCACATTCGTCTACAAAATTCGCAAGGGCTCCACGGATTCCCATGATCAACGTACCAGAAATGGTGTTTTGGAAGGAATCAGGATCATGCGGGT